GCTTGAGTTAATTCAGATTTATTTATTTATTTTGATGGAGGGGACGGCAAGGGGGTTTGTTCCACTATAGGCTTTTTCAGCTCTGGATTCCTCCAAGCATGTAACCACCACAGTAGCCTCATTTTGGCTGGATTCCTGTCGTAACTCACCACCTGAATTTGCTATTTTAGGAAATGATACCACACTCTGCTGCTTATATTGCCCTTGGAGCAGTTTCATAGCAGAGCAATAAAAGAACTGAGCCACAAACGACTCCTATGAATGATGGTGGTGATCACGCTGCATAAGAGCCAAACTATATGGACTCCATAAATGGAATTCAGCCTCTTGCTCTGATTTCTAGGGTTGCCTTTCGATGCAAAGCACATTTGCATCCCTCACACACAGAATAAAAACTATGGATGTGTGCTTGCAGACACACACACACACACACACACACACACATTTTGCTTAAAATATAATGGAAAATTCTGTTCCCTGGATAGGACTTTCAGCCAAAATCATTGGTGCTTTGCAGTCATCTGCATATTCAATGACAATGATGGTTTTTCTACATTGCCCTTATATCTTCCCTTTTCTTTCTGTTTTCAGTCTCTTTCTAAATTGGCTGAACCCATAATTTTGAGTAACACACAAAATAATAACCCCCCCCCCAATTGCCTCTAACTTTCTTTCTCTTTTATTGAATTACATATTGCAGATGGTGTTTGATGTTTGCAATTGTTTTCCTGTTAATGTCAGCCATGTGATTTGGTAACATCTGAAACATATTGAACTTCACCCCTCTATTTATTGAGGTTTATTTATTTATTTATTTATTTATTACATTTGTCCCCCGCCCATCTCCCCCCAATGGGGGACTCTGGGCGGCTCACCACACGTTAAAACAATAAATAAATATACAATTAAAACCTAGAACAATTCACATTCACAAAAATAAAAGAGGAAACATCCAGGAGGCCGACGGTTCAAGGCAGTGATGCCAGGCCACTAAGGGACTAGCCAACCCCACACTTGATGATCCTCCTCCTCACCCCAGGCCAGATGGCAGAGCCAGGTCTATATTCCTACCCCTGTCGTGTGATGTTCTTTCTTGAATTTTAGAAAACAAAACCTAAACAAAACCAATCCTTATTAAAAAAAAAAGAACATAAAACAAAACAACCCAACCCGTGTGATAGAAATCTGCATACACGCTCCTAGTTGGAGAATCTGAGACTTCAATTTCTAAATATGGAACATTGTTTTCATGCGATGACTTCTTCTCTTCCTCCAGCAAGGAGAGAGCTATCTCTCTCCAGACTGCAAGATGCGCTGCAGATGCGAAGGCGCTGGCCAGCTGAGCTGTCTCCCCCACAGCTGTGGAACTGGTGAAGTCTGTGGGCTGAGAAATGGGCTGCGCGGCTGCTTTCCCATGGAGGGCCGCTGCATAATGACACCAGGAGATCATTTCTCTTCCTTTGATGGCCTTTCTGGGAATATATCTGCTCCTGGAGCCTACCAGTTGGCGTCCCTTTGCAACATCCACTCTGACGATTGGTTCCGCCTGATAGTTCGAGTTACATCATGTCTGCCTGTCCAAACGACTACTGCCACCTTGCACATCTTCTTCAAAAATTTATTTATTACTGTGAATGACCAGAAAGAGGTTTGGGTAAGTGGAAATCAAACCAAGGACCTGGGCTCTCTTAAATACCTATTAATACCACGTCTTTCCTTCAGGCCTTTATGGGAACTCTTGCAAGACTAGTTGTGTAATCTAAGACATTGTCACAGGGAACCCAGTTGAGTTGTTCTGTACTGTGCAACTCAGACCCATCTTTGCATTGTGGGGAAGGGGGAAGACATAGTTTGCTATCACAGAAAGCATGGCAACCTTAAGTGAGATGGGCGGCTATATAAATATGATAAATAAATAAATAAATAACCTTAGGGTCAGGTAACATGAGGCCTGACATTTGCCCATGAGCCTCAGAAAATAAAATGGTAGGAAGGTGTAGCTCAATGTCTTGTTCCCCCCTTTCCCTAGAAAGAATGTAATGAGTAGTGGAGGGAGTATCCTGGGTGACTAGACAATGGTTGGTGGAAAAAAATTCACCCTCTTTTCTCCTGATAGCTGGTGCCTGGTTCTGCCTACCATCATGGCAGCCATTTGTAGCTAGGCAAGCTCCTCCCCATAGCAGCCATTTTGTGAGAATGGTGCAGCATGCACTGAAAATCCCAAATGTGCCCACTTAACTTCCCAAGATTGACAAAGATTACTAAAAAAGAGGAAGAGAGTCCAAGAAGATGAAGGATCTGGGGCTGAAGACAGCAGACCTCTATGGGGCTAGCCATCCCCACGCTTGAAGTATTCCTTCCCCACCCCAGGACAAGTGGCAGAACCAGGTCTTCAAAGCCCTCCGGAAGGCCAGGAGTGAGGGGGCCATTATGGCAGTTATTATCCAAAACCATCCACAAGGTCCCAGGTGGCCTGCTCCTGATCTGCAGATGAAATCACATCAAGCTTGCATAGTTTTCATTCTTAACTCAAGCATCTGGAGGAGAATTTTCGTGACTGGACATTGTCCCTTCATCTCCATCTAACTTAGTTTTCTCTGCTTGTATGTCCTAGGTGAATGGACTGCCGGTTGAAATCCCACTCCAAATCACAAACTCAGTGAAGTTTGACCTGACCGGTGATGTGATTGCCCTGCAGACACCTCAGGTTCAAATAACATTTGGCCCAAATCGAAGAGTAGCCGTGTCGGTCATTCCAGCTTTGGCAGGGAAGGTGTGTGGAGCTTGTGGAAACTTCAACCACACACCGGTGGATGACTTGAAGGGGCCAGGCGGAGTGGATGTCAGTGACGTTCCAGAGCTCTTGTTGTCTTGGACGGCTAGAGATTTTGCTGCACTGGTAAATGAGTTTTGATCACTCCTCCCTACAGATTCTTCTGGCCCTGTCTCCCTGTCTGCTAATAACAAGGCTTTACCCAAATTAAAACAGCAAGCTGAGCCATCAATTTCCTAAGAGAACCATTGACTTGAAACCACTCTAGGTGAGCAGATTTGGGGCGAGAGAAGAACATTCACTGACAATTCAGTGGCTCCTTCTGACCTTGAAATTCAGTGGAGGAGTTTTTTGAGGTCCTTTTCTATTTAACATTTTTATGCGCTTGTGGCTCTTAGCTATGGCCTCTGATGGTTTCTCCAGTCCATCTCCAAAATGCTCTGGGAAATGATGCTTTGATATAGCATCATTACCTAGTGGTATTTGGAAGAGGGGAATGAGGGGCCATTAATGTTTTAGACAGAGCTGAAGCTTCTGCTGCCCTCAGTGCAGGAGAAGGGAGACTTCTGCATTTGGGAGCCATTTATCACTCACCAGAACATTCCCCTCTGAAATAGATACAACATTTTATTCTGTTGTAAATCATGAAACTGTAAAATGTACCAGTGGGTGGCTGGAAATACTGGAGTCTGGCCTCCTGGACAAATTTAACAAAGATCAAATTTATATATATTCCCTTGCTGTGAAAAAGCTCTGGTGTGTACCTTAAGCTCTCCCAGCTGCTCCATCCATTTTGGTGGAAGCATCAGGGTTCCTGAGGGTTCCTCTTCTGTTGACGTGAATGAGAAAATCTGCATGGAGTAAAGCTCTGGGTGGCGTACGTAGAACTCTGCAGGGGGGAAGATCATTCCAGAAGGCAGGTGTCACAACTGAAAAGCCATGCCTTCTGGTCCCATCAGATGGCATTGAGTCAGGGAAGAAACGTGAAGCATGCTCACCCTATTGGGGTGTGTGGGATGGGTACGTATCAGTAGGGATATTTGCAAATAACCTGGTCCTGTGCAATGTAGGGCTTTATAGGTGGTAAACCTGGAATTGCACCTGGAAACCTTTAGGAAGCCATTGTAGCTTGCGGACTAGTGGTGTTACATGGGCATACCTAGGTGCACCCTTCACTACCTGCATTGCTGCACTTTGGATCAATTGTAGCTTCTGGGTGGTTTTCAAGGGCAGCCCCATGTTGAGTGTGTTTGTAGTAGTCCAGCTGGGAGGAGACTAGAGCATACATGACAGTGAGCAGGGCCTTCTGATCCAGGGCAAGGCACATCCAGCTCAAGACAAAGTTGTGCAAAGGCCCTCCTAGCTACCTGCCACTCGCTCTTCAAATATGTGTAGATCAGGGTTGAAATGTTGGGAAATTGGTGTTTGTTGAGCTTGGTTTTACACCAAACGTGACACCACCAAACAAGGTATCATCTGTGCTTTGGCACAAGGTAGAGAGGGTTGCTGACTTCTTACGCATGGCTGCTCATCCTACCAGCCTTGACCATATTTTGTGTAGTTTGTGTTCCTGTTTCTGATGGACCTACTTGGCTCAGTATCTTCCCTTATCACACACCTAGCAATCAACACATCGATAAGGGAGAACCCACATAATATATAGGAACAACTGATGATGAAATAGTACAGCTAACCAAGCCAGATACTCCAATCAAAAAGAACACCAAGATCCCAATAGTGAGGTCTGTTTGATTGGGAACTTGGTACCCTGAGTTTTCGTGCTGAGCAGGGTTGCTCCCTAAAAACTCCTATCTTCTCTTGGGTTCATAGTGGATACCATTTTCTCACACACCCTTCCTTTCTCTTATACTTTGTCTCTCTCTTACTTCTTAGTGTGCCTTGGGATAAGATTGAACAGGGTGATCGGATGATGCGAATCTGACACTGGATTGAAATCAAGAAGAATGTCTTTGGCAAGCCTCGCCATCAAAGGAAATTGACATGGGAAACAGAACTTTTAGAGGTCTGAGTTTCCATAGGAATTGCTCAAATGAAGTTAAGCGATGTGGAATGTAAAAGTTTAAACTCTGTAAAAGTAGATTCTCTTGCTTAAAAATCAATTTGTTCTGCTTAAAGTCATGTTTCTGTATTGGCAGTAGAAATGGAACTAGGTAAAAATCAAGGAACCTTTGAGGACCTAGGGTACCCTTGGCCATAATGATTTAGTTTAGGGTGATCCTGGGGAAGGGAACAAAAGGCAGATAACAAGACACAGACTTGTATTTTGAGGAGTGTGAAAAAGGCTCATCTGATCATCATCATAACAGGAATGCAGATTAAGGGGGACACGGAGACCAGGGTGCCATTCTCCAGGCTAAGTCTGGCTAACTATCTCATTGCCCGTATAGAGTTGGAGGCTTTTCCTGTCTATGTACTTAATTATTCATGACTGCCAATACACCTTTTCTCTCTCCTATAAAATCCTTTCTCCGTCTATTCTCTTTCTCATGGGATATTTTATTAAAGAACCTTTGCTTCAGATCTCCGTTGTTTGGATTGCTTTTTTCCCCATGACAGCTAGATCTTGGCTGAACTTTCTTCTCTAACACGAGGCTTCGATTTTGATGAAAGATCATAGTTTATTCAAATGGGTTATTGGGTTCTTTGAATGAAAGAGACAGGTGATGGAGGTGAGGTTTGGATGAGAGAATATGCTTACTGAACTCCTCTGACTTAACTATGGGACTGAATCAATGAAACAGCTACAGCTTTTCGCAAAGTCGTATGTGGACTTGTGTGTCTCTGTGTGGGTGTATAAGAAAGGAAACGTTTTAATACTCAAACTGAAGACATCCCAACCAATTAAATTCTAGATGCCTCCCCCCAATTCTCACTATTCTACACAGCCTGCTAAATTCCTTCCATTCTTTCTTCTCAGAATGGTTTATATATAAAACTATACAAATACAGTACAAATGTTTCTGCTAAACCTGCAACAGGTTGGATGTAAACAGCATAGAAAACTGCAAAATCTTTATCAAAAGCTTTAATTGATTCTTCTAACAGATTCAGCAGGGTTAGTTCAAGATGATTCAAAATATTCAACCTCCCTCACCAAGAAAAAAAAGAGCTATATATCTAGGACCTTTGCAGGGAACAGCTACTATTCATGTTTAGGACTACCACATTTAAACCGCAAATATCTGAATAACCACTAGATGGCAGCAAAGAGGTGGAAATCTTTGTCAGGACCTTGCGGTCAGCTGAATTCTTGCAGCTCAAATAAGGTAACCATATCAATCCAGCAGATCTTGCATTTCAAATTTGCATTTGGTAGATCAACTAGTGTAAAACATCAAAGTTGATTTTTAAAAAGCAGAGCCTAGCCAGAAGTTATGTACAATCTTCAACAGCTGGGGCCTCAGCATTTGTGAATCAGTAGCTGGATTCACACATCAGTGTGAACTGTAATGTTGCTTGTTTGATGTAGGCTTAGCTCAGGGTTTGAAACAAACCAGAGCTTATGATGGGTGATCAGTAAGGATGTTCGTATGATATGTGAATCCAGTTGGTGGGAGGTAGCTGTTGTCAATGGAGAAAAAGATGCTGTGTTGTGCTTGCAAGACCAGCTGCTTGCTTGTTGCCTGGGACTCACTCTAACAGAAGATATCCCTGCTTGTAGGAACAGGTGAATCTATCATATTTGCTGAGTTTACGAGCATTCAATATACATCTTTTTTTTAAAAATGCATGAAAATTCACACAACATTTGCATACATTTGGGAATCCATTTCTCATCCATTTCCCTTAACGCAATGCATTTGTGGATTCTTTTCTCCAAATATACAGGCTTCCATGGATTTTTAATATATACACTTTTACCATTTGAGTTGTAAACTCTACTGTCAAATGATGTAAAATGCAGATTTCCAGAGGTGCTAATTGAGTGAGTTCGTATAAGAGTAGGATCCGAAGAATTTCTCCTCCATCCATCCGTGATACAGTCAAGACTGCATTCTTGTGAACGTTGGTGTGATGAAAACTGATCTTGAATCAAGGTTCCGTATAGGAGTGGATTTTAAAATGAGCTTTAAAAAAAAGGAAGTAAAAAGGCATTTGGTATTTTGAATCTCAAACAACGGCATGCCAAATACCCAGGGCCATAAATGCATGTTTAGCACATCCAAACAGGTTATGGAAAGCCTTTAACATTAAGAGGGAGCAGACGTCAGTGGGCTAAGTGGACCAATATATTTCCTCAAGCATAAAGAGTCAGGTGCCAGGCTATGCTACACTTAGATGTTTGCACCATTAGACACTGATGGAAACACGATCGGTTTATAGTTTTCCATCCCATTGTCTAGATATGGGGTAAAATAGAGAGCAAAACCAGGTAAACGTTAGGGAAAAAAAAAAGAAGTTTCTATCTTGACATACCATGTTGTACTCCTGTTCTGACTCTCCAATAGTTGACGACCTCCGTAATGGTGCGGGCCATCCTACCATGTGGAAGCCTCAGGTCATCTGCACCGTTACCATTGAAGTTCCCACAGGATCTGAACACTCTGTTGGCCAGTGTCGCACTGATTGTCACTGTTAAGTCACCACCACTACTATAGAGAACCTGTACACCAGATTCATGTGCCACCATCACCATATCTTGGACCAAGGTTACTGATACTTCCTTGGAAGGCTGAGCTGGGAGATGCACGGGATGGCCATTCACCTAGAAAACGCAAATAATAAGTCACATGGAGACACTGCGTACTGAGTTTTGGAAGATAAGTGAGAAGAGCAGAGGTGAATAAGAATACTAGAAAGCGGGCAACTTTCTTCTAGAAGATGAGTACTCGCTAGAGCCACATAATGGAATCCTGGGTAAATGTACAGTTCCCTTGCCATGACCACATGGTAGTGCTCAGCCTCTTCTTTGTCTCCCTGTCACATTTCACATTTCTCTTTTAAAACTCAGCACCTCACTGCCAAGAACGGTAGTTCTTCTTTCCATTTTCTGCCACTTTGCATTACGCAGTTTTATCAAAAGGTGCTATCAAAATCTGTTCATCTCTCTCCCAATTTTGTACCCATACAGAAAAATCGGGTTACTGAATTAATCCATTTTCTAAGTTTGCCTAATATATGAAACCATAAATTAACCAAATAGTTTGGTTTCACTCAAAAGACTAGGCCACGACAAACTAAAGTTTAACCTAACCAAGCTTAGTATCTGTGGCTGTACTGGTTAAGCCTGCTGTGCAGCCTAGAAGTCTACACACACTATATGTTTGCCTGAGAAATATCACTTACAAATTAATGTTTTCCTTTTCCTTTTCCTTTTCCTTTTCCTTTTCCTTTTCCTTTTCCTTTTCCTTTTCCTTTTCCTTTTCCTTTTCCTTTTCCTTTTCCTTCAGACTTTCACTTTTAGAGAAAAGAGGTGGGACATTCCAAGTAGAATGTCACCTGTTGATGCTCCTGATGGATCCTCCTCATGTACAACTCATGGTACAGAGCCTTCAGGGGAGGTGGATTAGGGATTGCATGAGATCCCATAGGTCAATTGGATCCAAATGGTGGTACCATTTGGTGGTACAGTTGGGCCCCCAACTGGAATTTCTAGAGTTAGTTATAAATCTATACACCTTTGGCTTTTTTTCTGAGGTCTGTGTCTCTGTCTTTGGATTTTTCTACCTGTCAATCTACTTCTGTCTCTTCTTGATTTTGCTCCACATTCTTCCAGAGTATTTCTAAATCTCACCAGCTTCATCGCCCTGGTTTCTCAATTTGCACCAAATTCATCCATCCTGAATTGCAATGCTAACTCACAAACATCTGGCCTCTGTGTTCCAACCTAGTCTTAGAAGAGTAATACACCCTATAACTTCATGGGAGCTGGATCTCAGTTGCTACGGGTGCCTTTCATTACCACAATTTACACCCCATTGAAATGTTCATTAGTTGTGGCAGTCTAGGTCAGACAGAGATAACTAGGCGAAAATTAAAGAGAGAAGGAAAGGTAATTAGCTGATTAGAAATCATGTGCATTTTGTATGTAGAAGGAAAAGAAGGAAGAAAGAGATAAAGAACTACAAGTAGAGTAAGTGAATAAAACATGAGACCTATCATCTGCCAGTAGTTGCTTCTTACCGAGACTGAGCTATCCTTATTCACCAGCACAATCAGCTTGTGGAAATAGACAGTGACAGAGACCACACTGGGTGTAGGACACTGGGGACATTTCTTCACCTGCACCACCACCCGGAACCATGATTTTGACTTAGCATTGACAAGTGCTGTGATCTCAAAGGACCCATCACTTGGAAGCCTTCCAGATACGCCATCAAAAGAGGTGAAGATGTGTTCATGGGCAATGGTGCAGTGGCCATCCTTCCGGACACAGTCCCATTTGCTGTTTTTCAGTACACAAGTTTCTCCAGCTGCACATGGGAATGGAGTGCACGTCAGTTGACCTTGACGTTGACAAATGCATTTCTCCATGCAATTGGCTGTGATCACTGGAGTTCCAGCCTACAATAAAGATACAACAGGTTGAGGGGTGATAGCACTGCTAAAAAGTGGCCATGGTAGGATGAGTTTATACCTTATATTCATCATATAATAATCACAATTATTCTGGCATAATTGCATATTTGTGAAATCTTCCTGTCAGATATATAATCAACAGTCTTCCACTTCTACTGCAACTGATGGATGGATTCCTTAATTTCTATTAATCTGGATCATCTCTCTTTTTCCACTGCCTCTCTGGGATTATCACTATTCCCATTTTTATGTTCACCTCCATTCTTCTTTCCATTCCTCCTTATCCTTCCTTATTATTTTACTCTTTTGGGATGCAGCAGTGAGAATGCCAACATGTTTCTGTTTGATGGCAACACTGGTTCATCCATAAGATCCTTTTCTTACAGCTATAGTTCTTATGCTTTGGAGAATCAACAGTTAGCTCTTATGCAGATGTTATCCTGCTTCCTAAATCATCAAATGCTACAGAAGCATTCAACATGCATCACTGAAATGGAAAAGGCAGAGGGCCAAAATCCAGAAGTGACTAGATGTCTCCTGCTCTGTTCTTTTATTGAATCCATCAGTCATTTCCTTTCAGCTCAGCCTACTCCGTGGGTTGTTGTGAGAAAAATGGGAGGAAGAGGGAATGTTATGTATACTACCTTTACTCTGAAGAAAAGCTGGATACAAGAATCTCATAAATAAAGAGAACAAAACTTTTGGCAATCATAAGAATTTCAGTGTGCTGCTATCTCTTGCCTTAAACCACACGCCTTTGTGGAAGCAGCGACATTGACTGATGGGGGCACAGTGGTACCCAGCCATGAAGTAGCCCTCTTTGCATTGGCAGCCTTCAGCGCAGTAGTTGGGGCACTTTGTGATGCTGTTTGCCTCTTTGCATCTTCTGGGACAAGCCCGGGTGCAGAGTTCATAGCGGCTGTTGGCTGGGCATTTCATTGCTGCAAGAATCAAAGAAGATTAGGTTACTAGAAAAGTGTATTTAGGCAGTAGCCTCATAGGAATTTATGAGAAACTGTATTGTTAGAACAGAAATTGTTCTGGTTCTGTACTGACTAGTTTGATAGCCAGACTGAAGCTTCATCTGATACTGCTCGGGCTTGAACGGATAATCTCTCGCAGGCAAAGCAGGTACTTTTCCCATTTGAGCTACAGCCCTTCTTCAAATAATGTGTAAATGAGGGAAGACAGGAATTGGAGGATGGGGGGGTGGGGGGACTTGTACATCCAAAGCTGAATTGGTATCAGAACTTGCTCCTGCTCTGCCTGGATAAGCCAAGAGCTGGCTTGTTCAAGCAAAGTCCTGAGCCTCATGACATGCAAACTCAAAGCTGGTGTCAAAATTTGCTCTCATTCTGCCTGGACTTGCTGGGAACAAATTCAGGATTTTCTACAGTTGCTGCTGTAAAGGACACATCTCAACTCCACTTCAGTATAAAACAAGAAATGAGGGTGGCTGTCTCCCAAATAACCCCAAGATTTATGTAAAACTGAGCAAGTTCATCTTTCCCATTACAAATGGTTTAAGATTTGGTTGTTTTATTGCTCATTTCCAGTGAAAAAGTTTTATTTTCTAAAAGTGCCAGGTTCTATCATTGTAAATGATTTACTTATTAAAGGTAAGTGCATATTTCTTGCTCAGCCTTAGCCCTAATGAAATCATTTACTTTTAATTTATTCATGGGGAGTCATACCATCTTGATCTTTTTGACCATACTTTGCGGACACCCCTGGATGATATAATCATGCAAATACTACAACTTACATACTCGTGTCAGCTATCAGCATACAAGTACATCCTGGACATATCACCATGCATGTCTCAATTTGGCATTACCAGTTAGCTGCTGTAACCACTAGTCTGGATGCCCCTGGATAGCTCCATGACTGCATATAGCCTACAAACCACTTTTTCATAGCCTCCTTTAATTGCAGGATTGCCCCAAATGGATGAAATAGTTTCCTGCTGTGTTTGCTTGTTTAGTTCCAAGCGAACACTACAGAAAACTACTACTGTTCTGATGACTCCCATTTTGAGATGGGCCTGTTTTTCAGATGGGTTGAAATCATCTCAGAACTCTTTTGGAAAAAAATAAAAAAAATCTTCTTCCAACCCAGAAACAAACCAACAATCCATGTGCCTAGTGTGGCTCTGCCCACTTTGTGCACTGTACCTCCCACTCTGCCTTAGGAGATGCTTCTACTCTGCCTGGAAAGTGCCTTCATAGGAGCACTTACGACAGAAGTTTGCTGTCCTCCAGGGTTTGATCTGAATGCCAGCTGCTTGACAAGCGGCAACGTAGCCATGGATAGCTCGGCAGAGAATAACTGGGTTCCCTCTTGCCTTGCAGAGGTCATGCACGCAATTGTTGTAGAAGTCCGTTGGGTTGATGGTGGAATAGCAAGCACTGAAAGGTCCATAGGGAGCCTGCAAAATGCCACACTGGGTGCTGTGTATGTAGCTGGCCTTCCGGCTCTCTTGACATGCGCCACACACTCCTGCGGCACAATCTTCTGTGCAGGTGGCAGAGGGAGAATCAATTTTCCAAGCAGCTGCAAAGGTTTGGACATTCATGGCTGGGTGGCCAGTGGGCAGGGAGATGTCATCAAGGGGTTGCCCATTGTAATTACCACATAAACCACACATCTGGCTCTGATAAGCCTCAGGCACCTGGATGATCAGGTGGTAGAGTTGATCAAAAGAGACAAACAAGCCAAAGTCTGTCCGAAGCACAATGTTGTCTCCGTGATAATAGACCCACATACCATCGCTTTCAAGGCGGAAAGGTAAGTAGGTAGTTGCACCATTCACCTGTGGCGGTGACAAGGGAATAAAAGTGAAGCAAGAAGGCAATGTAAAAAGTAAGACCAGTTACCTCTGATTTGTCTAAAAAAAAAAAAATCACACAATGCCATTTTTATCTAGGCTTTTGCTGTCTCGTATAACCAGCATCATTCACCATCCGCATTGTACTATGTTCATTTGACCATCTCAACATGTACACCTTCAATATTTTTATTGCCATGTGGTTGATACAACTGATTGCTTCTTTAACTTATCTGCTATTGAAGCTCCCAATAAAAAGCAACATTCCCACCCCCCTACTCATAATTTTTCAATTTATATTTTCTTACCAGGACAATGCCTCTCTTTTCCCGCAAGATGGAAATGGTATTTTGGTAGGCTGTGATAGATACAACTTTTGTTACAGAGACTTTACCCTTGGACCGCCTTTCATTTTGTATGTTGACAGAGAAAGACGGAAGGGAATGTTGACGTGTACAACTCCTCGCCAGCGTGTAGGTGCAGTTGCTCTGAAGGTCAAATGTGGAGCCATCGAAGGTGATATAATGTGGGTCTCCAGCCACATGACAAGTCCCACTCTTCTTGGGAGCAAATGAATGGCACTTCTGGATACCATCCACCACACGACACTCTTCATGGGGTCCGCAGGAGGAGTGATGACAGTCCATGATACCACCAACATGGCAAGTACAACGCTCCTTGCAGAATCCATTGACATAGAAAGACTCACCCGCCTTGTAGTAGAGACCTTGGTGGACACAGCCGCATTGCGAGATGGGAACACACTGGTCGCCGCTTAAAACAAAACCTTGGTTGCATTCACATCCCTCATGACAGTTAGCAGTGCAGAGAACTGGATTAAAGAGGCTGTGACATGTCACAGGGCAGTTGCTGGCACAGACTTTATAATGACTATTTGTGGGGCAGTCAGGTTCTGAGGAACACAAGAAGACATTGACATTTTGGCAGAAGGCAATGATATCACCATTTCTTAAATCTCCCTCTGAATCACGATTAGAAACTATTGCCCTCTAAAGATTTGGCTCCACAACTGAAATAAATTGCAAATGGCATGGCTGATGATGAAGGATTAGGGATTTGTAATTTAGATCATTGAAAGAGTCCCAGATTATTTACTGTTGCTTTATGTTCAGTTTTCTTAATCTTTACACCATAAGTATTTACTCATTCTATCATCGAAGAAAGAAGAGAGATTAGTTTCTGACTTCTTAGACATTGTTTCAATGCACTGCTTTCCAGGTACCCTCCAGATGTGTTATGGCCCTTTAAATGTGTGAATTATGAAAGTTAAAATCAAGTACACCTGACGGTACCATGTTAAGCCAGATGGTTTTAGCTGGGTGATCAGGAAGATCATCTAGATAAAATGTCTGAGTCTGAGTTAGGAACAAAGATGTAAAGATGGTCCTGCTTATTAGGACAAAGTCAGTCCAGGGATGGAATCTTTGCCCATCCAGATATTACTGAACTACTACTTCCAAAATCCTTTGCCATTGGACATGAAAGCTAGGGTTGCTGGGAATTGTAGTTAGGACTATCTGACTATATGTTCCCCACCCTGATCTAGCTTAACACTCTGTTTTTCATAATGATTAAGCCCAGCCTTTTTTGGCTGACCCAGCTTCTAGTCTGGGCTAGCCACTTTCTCATTAAAATGAATAATCCATATCTTTTTTCACCCAGAAAAAAAAAATGGCTTGCTTGTTGCTTTGCTCATCATTCTTGGTAGGAATATTCTACAAGCTTCTTATCCTGCTATGGATGTGAATATAATTCATTCACCACAAATTTCAGTAGGGACTAATCTAATTCATATTTCTGATCTGTTTTCATAAGCCTTTCCTTACCTCATGTGATGCAGTTCTCCAGGACATAAAATTATGGACATTAAGGAAAAGTATCAAAAATGCAGATCTCTGCACAAAGAGGAGAGTGGTTTGGTCCAAAAGGTATACATTTGCCACATCTATATAAAGGTATGTTTTGTTTGCATAAAAACATTTCTTGTTGCATAACCATGGAAATGGCTGGATATAAATTTGCACATGCAAACAGCAACAACAACTGTGAACATTATAGAAGACAATATATGTTTAAGGCTTTCATGGCCGGAATACGATGGCTGGTGTGGGTCTTCCCGGCTGTGTGGCCGTGTTCTGGAAGTTTCGTTTCCTAACGTTAGGAAA